GGCTGCACCTTGTGGTGCTGGTGGTAACGTCTGCTGTGTTGTCTGCGACTTGTGGTGCTGGTGGTAACGTCTGCTGTGTTGGCTGCGCCTTGTTGTGCTGGTGGTAACGTCTGCTGTGTTGGCTGCACCTTGTGGTGCTGGTGGTAACGTCTGCTGTGTTGTCTGCGCCTTGTGGTGCTGGTGGTAACGTTTGCTGTGTTGGCTCCAAATTTTCGCTGGGTACCACCCCTTATAGCTGTAGTTAAATGTTACCCTTTAGTATATAAAATAATTGACATAATTGACCTGTCCACTGTGCCTCTTTACAAGGAGACATGTCTCCTTGTACTCCACTCATCGAATTCGTAATGGTGCTCACTAACTACGAAGTATTTGTTACCCAAACGTGTTCACGCTCTCTGCTATCTTTATTCGATGTATTTATACATTACTGACTCCCCGGACTCAGATGTTGGTGGAGTTATGCGAGTTGAAGGAGTCGACCATGGGGCTGGAGTGGCGGCAGACGGCTCGCTGGATCGTTATTCTATGTTCGTTATATTCAATGATCGTTATTCAATGTATTTATACTTTACTGACTCCCCGGACTCAGATGTTTGTGGAGCTATGCGAGTTGAAGGAGTCTAGCATGGGGCTGGAGTGGCGGCAGACGGCTCGCTGGATCAAGTACGAGGAGAGCGTCGAGGGCGTGCATAGCGACCGCTGGGGCAAGCCTCACGTCGCTTTCCTCAACTTCCACTCGCTCTTCTCCCTCAGGAAAGGACTTGATAGAGGCGAGTATTGCTCCACTACTGAAAATTTAAAATGGAAAGTGATTGCACCATTTTTATGAGGTCAATTGAAAGTGTACATCTGCTTAATTAGTTACCGTTAGCTCTTCTTTGTTCGGTACAGGAGCTGTGCTTCTGGACCTAGAGGAGACGGACCTGACGGGGATAGTGAATAGGATTGTTGAGTATATGATTGCACGCGATCAAATCCCCGGTGACCAGAAGGAGGCCACTACCTCCACCTTGTTGGCCAGGGTACGCCACGTCAACGAGACGAGCTTTGCAGTGGCGAGGCGAGAGTCTCGCACCACCCTGTGAGTTGCACTGTGTGCTGTGTGGGTTGCTGTGTTGTGTGTGTGGGTCTACCTTATGTCTGTGTTGTTTGGTTTTATGTGTTGTAAACAGCCGTCACACTGCTCTACAATAATTGTTTCCTTGATATACTTAATTACATTACCAGAAGCAACTTCAATGTTACCTGTCATAAAACCTGTTACAGTTCAGAATTGTATAGAATTTTAACGATATCTGGCGTTGCGTGTGTATTTTACTTGTTGCCCTTGCCTTTTTACTGACACCGTGCTGTGTCACATCGTTGCCCTTCTCATTGCTTTAATATCTGCGCTAATCTTCGACTTTACAGCGACGCGGACGGCAAGCTAGTTACCGTGTCGAGTGTCGTGGAGTCCGCCAGCTCCCACAGCCTCACTGGCAACCTTAGGGCGTCCATCAGGAGGACCACAATCCACAAAGTTCTCTCGGTAAGACCCTCCGTCCCGCCTTATTACCACGTTTTTCTTAGCTCGCTTTCGTGTCCTTCTGTCTGTCTGTCTGTGATGATCAAATCTTGCAATCGATATTTCACCAACTTTCCCGCTAGCTAGCGCTCTGAAACTTTTTAGGGAAGCTCAGCTCCCGATGACAATACAATAATCAATAATTTGTTGCACGTTTCCAGGCGTATTTATTCAATGAAATGTCTTTATTACAGCCACGCACCCAGATAAATACGGGACCAACAATGTATCCCCTCGAATACAATTTTCTACAGAACGTCGAAAAAAATTTTCTTTCGTGCATTTGCGTGGCCAACTGAAATAAAATGTGTTTTTTACGTGTAGCAACGGACTAAAAAGGAGAAAATAAAATACTTAAAAAAAACTTTAAAAACACGTTTTTCTTGTGGACTAAAAAGTAGAAAATAAATTATGGCTCGCCCAAAAAACGTGGGTCGGGCAGATTTATGATTAAAGCGAAAAGCACACAACACACGAATTTTGGAAATTTGATGGTGAACGTACAGCCCGACCCGCGTTTTTTTGGGGCGAGCCATAATTTATTTTCTACTTTTTAGTCCACAAGAAAAACGTGTTTTTTTTAAAGTTTTTTTGAAGTATTTTTTTATACCGTAAAATAACAATCGATTCAAGTGTGCATTTAATGGCTTGCATTACTTATGATATCTCATGCAGTAATGGGATGGACCGATCACAATTTTTGTAATACATGCATCCTCAGTTTAATTGTTAGAGTCCGTAAGTTATATTTTTATTACTTTCTTTTGTTTCACTATTCAGCTCAAATCGGGCTCCTTCAGTGTTTTATAATACCGAAATCCGAATATAATACCGAATAATCAAGTTCATGTGTTATCATGTAATACCGAATAATTAGTTCATGACGTTATAATGAGAAATATCTTTCCATTTATGATGAGATAATTATGATATCATTATAATGAGAAATAACTTTCCATCATTCAATACTTCAGAACCAGAGCCTGGGCAGCCGGCGCCACAGTTCGTTTGAGCGCAGCTTGACCGCGTCTCAGAACAACGGCGGTTTCAGGGACAGACTGCCTTCCTTCGCTACCAAACTAGACACTGTCGAAACTTTCAACGTAAGCTATAATCTTAGTACGCAATGTTTATCACTTTTTAATCTTTTATTAGCTAGAACTCACCCTAGACCGTGGATAAGAATGTGAGCTGAACTTTGAAGTTAGAACTTGCTGACCTCTAAAACGCCATCCATCGAAATAAGACTTCATAGTAAAATATCCATGCCGTTGGTCATTATTGAAGACATTAAGTGCCCTTTTTAGCCATCCATTATGATCCACATACTGTTATTGTTAGTAGGCTAATTGCAACATAAAAATAACCTTTTAAAAAGACAAAAAAACTGAAAAAATCATATAAATCAAAAAATCAAATAGATAAAAAAATCATGAAAGAATAAAAATCATTGATTTTTTATTATTATTTTTTTATTAAAAAAATCACCAACCCTGATCCAGGAAGAGAGAGAGAGATCAACAGCTAAATTAGACGTTCAACAGGAACGACCATCTGTGCAAACAGAATAAATCCACGATGATCATTATAAATAAAGATTCGACGATATTGCAACATATTGCTCTTCGCAACCAAATTAATTAGTGAACTAAATTAATAAATTGATTGACTAAAAGCGTTTCCGTTGGATGAAGACTTTAAATTTTCTCATGATAAGTCGACTAGATGGTTCTCTCCCCTAGCATTAAGACATTGGGTTATTCAGAAGCTATTAACATATTATATATTATATTATATATATATATATTATATTAGCAGACTGAGCGTGAAGGCAAGTGTGGAGCTGGTCAAGGAGAGATATATCTGGCCATCCATTGTATTAATTAAACTTTCTACTTAGAGGATTAAATTACAACAAATAACGTATATGGACAATATTATTATTTTGTAACTCATTATATGGACAATATTATTATTTTTTAACACATTATATGGACAATATTAATTTTTTTAACCCATTACATGTATTTTACCAATATATGAACACCCCAAATCTCAGTCCAAGAATACGCACCATGGGCTCCGGTTTGTGTTCGATGCTTAGTGGTGTTTTCTCTGCCAATCACCAATCATTTGACCATCAATCACTACCATGCCCCAAAAAATAATTATGAGCATTTAAATCGAAGTTTTTTCTCAGACGATGAAATTAATCTTTATTCTGAATATTTTTAATAGTTTGAAGTGCCAATATCTCTTCAATTAGGTAATTTAACTTGACGAAATTGAAATAAATTGAAAATAGAGTGCTATACATTTTTGGATTGATTGCTACCTTTTTTGGATAGATTGCTTTACTTTTTTTGGATAGGTATATTTTTATACTGTTGTGATTTGATTGATATCTTAAATTCGAATCAAATTATAATTTTTCTGATTAATAATCGTATTAATATATTGTTCAACTACGAATAACTCCAGCAATATGGGAAATTTTGGAAAATCTATACAGAAATATTATAACAATAACATAAAATAATATAACACATAAATAATGATTTACAATAGTACATACGAGAAATAGGCATTAAAATTGTTCTCACTTTTTTGTACTGGTTACAGAAATATAAATTTATACACTTGCTTGACCGCAAGAGGGGTAATTATAGGCAGTGAACTGATCTGTTTTAAGGACACTTGGGACGAAAGTGTCTTCTAATTATTATAATTACAGGCAGTGAACTGATCGCGTGTAGGACACTTGGGACTAAAGTGTCCTCTAATTATTATAATTACAGGCAGTGAACTGATCGCGTGTAGGACACTTGGGACTAAAGTGTCCTCTAATTATTATAATTACAGGCAATGAACTGATCGCTTGTATGACACTTGGGACTAAAGTTAAGGGACTTGCCTGCGTACAGGCCGAGACCGGCGAAGGGACCCGCGTCTCTGAGACCTTCCAGAACACGGACCTCATGAGGAAGCTGAAGGAGGGCACCGAGGCCACGGCGGTGCTCGTGGGGGCCGTGGACTACCTCAAGGCCTCCACCATCGCCTTCGTCAGGCTGGCGGAGGGCGTCGTGATGGACAACCTCGTCGAGGTGAGGGGGCGTGTGGTGTTCCATCATTAGTGTGAGGTGTAGGTCCCGATTAGATAGTCTCAGTGAATTATATTATAGTCATTAGTATTGTGTTCCATCATTATAGTGCGAGGTGAAGTTTCCGACTAGATAGTCTCAGTGAATTATATAATAGTCATTCGTGTAGTGTTCCATCTTTCATGTGAGGTGTAGGTCCCGACTAGATAGTCTCAGTGAATTATATTAAGATCAGCCTTGCAGTGCGTGAAATTAAGGGGAGCGTTTCGGTCAAAATCGATAAATTTGGCTTTTCCGTTTTCTTGGCTCATTTTTTATCTGCTGAAAAGAAGTGTCTAAAGCAGAAAACCGAATGTCTGTGCGTGCTCTAGTTTTTGGGTAAAGCATTTTTAAAATATACAAAAGAAATTTTTTAACAGTATATACAAAGATTTCTTTAAATACAATCTGTATTTATAGATCATTATTCGCGTTAATTGCAAAGTGTTTGCACTCGTTTGAAAGCTACAAACAAGACGTGTTCAACAAAGCTAGTACCATGGATGTGCGTGCAATAGTTTTTGCGTAAGGCTATTTAGAACTTTTATAAAATGACCATTTCATAACATTATTTACAAATTTCTATTTAAGAAATTGTATTATAGATCATTATTTGCGTTAATTGCAAAGCGTTTGCACTCGTTTGAAAGCTACAAACGACGCGCGTTCAAGAAAGCAAATACCGGTACCACGGATGTACATGCAATGTTTTGTTGCGTTAGGTCGTTTTGAACTTATATAAAATGAACATTTTATGTATATCCTATGATTTTCATAAATGTTCTGTTTATATCTCCTATGATTTGCAAGCTACAGCATTGCGAGATATTCCATTCAATTCGTAAGAAAAATATCTAGAGATCCTCCGGTAATTTTTTTTCGATTTCTTTTTCGTTTTGATTATATATTCGTAAGAAAGGGTAGGTATGGGTCAAATTGAAAAAAAAAATAAAAAAACTAAAAGAAAATTCTAAAAAATACCGGAGGATGTTTAGATATGGTCTTTACGCATCGAATTATATGTCTCTCGGTGTTATAGCTTGAAAATCCTATAGGAGGAGATAGATTTCTACAATACCCCCATTTTTGGCAGTTTTCTGTGAATTTCACGTTTTCTTTCATTTGTTTTTCAAGAAATCTACGTGAAGAAGAAAGTCTTATATTCTATTTTACCTACGTGTACCAAGTTTCAAAATGCTCCGCCCGTAAATAAAATTGTTTTTTTTTTGTATAGACGCTGACGCTCCCCTTAAGCAAAGTTTTGTTCTCAGTAGAATGTTTCATCAGGCGTGCAAATCAGCGATACTTTATGTACTAAAACTTCTATTTCTGTTTCATCACTAGACACTGTAAACTTTCCAGAGTGCATCAATATTATTCTAGAAACTAATATTTTGATTGGTTCGCTTTTCCTAATTTTTTGTTCGCTAGTATTTCGTCACTATTCATATAAACATTAAAGAGGTAAAATTGAAATTAATTTCTGGCCTGGCGGTTTTAAATTAAATTTTCATGCGCACATTGGAGTTGCGCGTGCATTTAATCAGAAATTCAGCTCCAATAACTTGATTCTGTTTCGAAATGAAAAGCTGAGAAATCAAACATTTGCTGGAATTGCCGATATATCCCCTGACCGATTCGCTGGTAAATTAATGTGCAAACTCAACTCCAGGTTCCCCTACCCGTTCGCTTCATGTTCGTCCTGCTGGGGCCGTTCCATGGCGAAATGGATTATCACGAAGTGGGGCGATCGATTTCTACGCTGATGTCAGACCAGCATTTCAGTGAGGTTCGTCTCAACTATACCCTGAAAACGTGTGATACCTGGGACCATACTTTCAAAAAAAGTTGAGAGATCGTAAGTTCATCAGCTAATCATTGACGGCCACGCAAGCAAAATCCACCAATCATGGACAAGAAAAATGAGCGTACGTACTTACGTTCACTTAGCGAGTTTTGAAAGTATGGCCCCTGGGCTATGGGACCTTTCTAATAGACTATCGAACCAGAATTTCAGTGAGGTTCGTCTCAACTATACCCTGAAAACGTGTGATACTGGGCTATGGGACCTTTCTAATCGACTGTTGACTAAGATTCTGTACTTTTTTCTTCGTGTGCCCGATGTAGGTAGCTTATACTTCTTTTTGCTGTTATTTGAATTCTTCATTTTCATCGTTTGTCGATACTGTTGTACAGTTTTTGTTACCACGCTTTTAAGTACCTAGTCCTAAAAGTCAAATGACTACTACCGTATACGTACGTCAAGTTTTTCGGTAAATGTTAGATATTCATTTTCTAATCCGTTGGCAGGTCCATATCGCGTTCGCTGTCATAAATAAAAAGTTGCACGTATGCTTTACATTGAATTGTAACTTTGATCATGTTTGCAGGTGGCGTACCGCGCTCACTCTCGTGGGCAGTTGTTGTCGGCCATTAACGAATTCTTGAACGCATCCATCGTGCTTCCCGCAGCCGAGTGGACAAACACGAACCTTATTCCAATAGACCAAATTAGAGAGAAGGCCCAGGAGATGATGAAAAGGAAGCGAACTCTTCGCAGAAAGCGCCTTGAGTCTGAGCCCCGTCAGTATTTTTAGAAATAAGTTTTTTTCAAAGACATTGTGCGTCACAAATTCCTGACCAATCAATGATTTAGCTCTAATTTTCCATATTACATTCATACGTCACTTGACTAACAAATGAGCTGATCTACACAGGACATTGTCGTTGCAGAGTTGCCAACTCAGCCTGTGATGCAACCTATTGAACTGCACGCCAAGGAAAAGAAAGAGGCACCCATTCGCGACCCCATGAAGCGCGTGGGCAAGCCCTTCTACGGCGTCTACATGGACATCAAGTCGCGTTTCCCTTTATATCTCAGCGACTTTAAAGACGGTTTGAGCCCTCAGGTCGTCGCTGCCGCTATCTTCATTTTCTTCGCCAGCCTCTCGCCAGCCATCACTTTCGGTGGTCTGTATGGTGAGTAAATGCAAACCTGTATAAGTTCGATCGCTAATATCCCAATACCCTGAAGTTTCGCTACCAACTTTGGTGGAATTTTTCTATCAGAACAAGACTACGCATTAGAAAATGTATTTCTGCAAGTATACTGAATATTGTTCACGTCCATCATATCTTCAGATACTCCTCTTTCTATGCCATCCGGAGCGTGATACAATCTTGTATGACTTTTACACAGACGCTCTATGTTGCTTGGTAAATTTGTATTAATATAATTGGCTAGCAGATGAGATTGGCGTTGCCAAGAGAAAGTTAATCCATGGTCAACTTTGTAACACAGAAACTATTTGCGCTTTCCTAAATAAAATTTTTACATATCAATTTGAAAACCCAATTTCAATAATAAATCTTTTCTATTTTCCCAGTTTTTGCAATGCATTACTATTCTTTTCTTATGAATGTATTTTCATGTCCAGGTAATATCCTGCCACGATAAGTATCTCGGATAAAAGCCCAAACAATCCCTGTACATTTTTGTTGCTGCGCTCCAATCATATACTGACAAACGTTGACAAATACATGAAAGATATTTCGTGGTAAAATTTGATCAGGTAGCAAGACGGGCGGACAGATCGGTGTGGGTGAGACCCTGCTATCTACTTGCATTAATGGCATCGTGTTCGCTCTATTCGGCGCCCAGCCGCTGCTCATCATCGGAGCCACCGGCCCTCTCATGGTCTTTGACATGGCACTCTTCTCGGTAACTGCATTGATTTTGTTGTAGCTTTACTTCCATGTAACCCAATGAAGTTCCCTCTTCCCTAACTATTTTGTTTCCGCCATCTAAGTATTGTTAATGTTTTCTTTGACCAGGTCACCTAACAGAGAAAATGCTCGATCTGATCGGTAGATATTGCTCATTTCCATATGTTACCTAGCAGGGAGATTATTCGATCTGATCGGTATATATTTTTTTCTAATAGAAAACAACGGTCGAGTTATTCATCGGAACATTGTTACTTACGCATACTACTATTGCGTCGAAAAATATAACTCAGTACTCACTGCAGTGAGTGACAGAGAGCTGTTTCTCGTCGACGAAAACGTGAAGTAGTCACGGACGGACAGACAGACGGACGGACATGACGAGCACAATAGCGCCTTTTTTCCATAAATGAGAAAATGCGCTAAAAATACATTCTTAGAAATGATTTCAGATAATCTATGTTAAGCATGCTACTTCTTGTTTTAGTTTGTTGCAAATAAAATTTATCAACCATACTTAATAATTCGCATGATGTGTGACGATTTGTTTAAAATCTTAATTAAGTTGATCTTTTAATGAATTTCTCACAATTCTTTGAATACTCAAGTCATAAAAATCAATTTCGTATCTATTTTTTGGGATGGTTTATATTATCTTTTCAACTATATTTTCCTCATTATTTCTTTAGTTATGAGACTAGAACATTCCCTGGACTTTTTCGCATGCACTGATTCGCATTTCCTCGTGCATGCGAACACTTTTATTAAAAGAGCATGATTAATGACATGAAAATGAGATTTCAAGCTTATCCTCTGTTCATGGATCAACGCCTTAATTCATAGCGACATCATTATACTTTGTATACGAAATACCTAAAATTGGTGTATTTTCAGCGCATTTTCTCATTTATGGAGAAAATGCGCTATAGTGCTCGTCATGTCCGTCCGTCTGTCTGTCTGTCCGTCCGTGACCACGTTTTCGTCGACGAGAAAATGCGCTCTTTGTCAGTCACTCACTGCAGTGAGTACTACTGAGTTATTTTTTTTTAGTTTGTCTTGATTTTAACATTTCATTAACACGTTGACTCCGATTGCTTCATCTTGAATTATTATATCATTTTTTTTTTTACTATTATGAGACGTTTGCCAGACGGTCTAAATCGCGCGTTCCGCGATTTAGTTTTTTTAGCGCACTTTCTCATTTATGGAAAAACTGCACTATTGTGCTTGCCATGTCCGTCTGTCCGTGACTTCATGTTTTCGTCGACGAGAAAATGCGATCTCTGTCACTCACTGCAGTGAGTACTGAGTTATATTTTTTTAATTGCGTTTAATTTTAAAAATTGTTTAATTGCGTTTAATTGCGTTTAAAGTTTAAAAGCTGAGAAAAAAATGAATGGAATTTTTAAACAGGAACCTAAAAATATACTGGTATATATTGAGTTATGGGCCTTTTTGCCCTTTTTTGTTCGCGGTATTGGCCGTTTTTAGGCCAACTGGCAACCCTAAATTATGTACCACTACGTCCTGGAGTGTAAATATACTTTCGTGATACTCATATGTACTACTTCAGAGTCAATGTGTTAAATAAATATTTGCATATTTCTACGAATATTTAATGAGTATATATGGTAGACCCTTACGTTTCATTAAGAGGCGTAATCGAGAATAAAATATATTCGTTACCCGTCGCAGTTTGCGAAGTCGATGGGACAGGAATTCCTGGTGATGCGGATATGGATCAGCATTTGGCAGACGGTGTTCGTGATCATCATCTCGGCTGCTGAGGGCGTGACGGTCGTAAAGTACCTCACGCGCTTCATCGAGGAAATTTTCTCTACCTTCGTGTGCATCATTTTTATCTTCGAAGCCTTTGAAAAACTTGTTTATATCTTCATTGCCCACCCGCTGCTCCCCGAATATTGCTACGGAGAAGACAGCTTTTTGACGACCTTGTGAGTACTAAATAACTGCCGTGCTCATGATTAAAGCAGCCTAATTAATTCGTTTTCAAATCTTAAAACCATTCATATGTATCGCTTCTTCGTGATTGTGATGCTTATTAAATTAAGGAGCAGTTTTTCGATCTCCTCCATTATCTGAAGCTTCAACTAACTTTTCAGTGTTGCTCATTTTGAAACATCTTTTTCCTCGAGAAAATCGTTATCGTATTCACCTGCAAAACACTATGCGTTAATCTTCCTCCGATTGCAGGTTGACTCGTACTGACTTGCTAAATGTTTACTTCGGAGCTAAATGTTTACTTCGGAGTAAGCAACCAATCTTTGTTTTCGGTTGAGCAGAAGTTATCCTATTTATTGGCGGTTTGAGAAATTATTCTGTTTGTATTTATTGGCTGGATGGCCCTCACGTTTGAGAGAAGAGCGAGATTGAGCGAGAGAATGAGCTGGACTAACGAGAATGTTCAGCCTTTTTTATAGCTCAAGGATATTTTTTTTGTGCACGGCACTAAAATGTTATTTCATCTCGTACCGAGTTATCTGCACTTCAAGATATTCAGCTTATTCAATGGGCTCAGTGAAAGCACTTCAATGGGCCATGTGAAGAAACGGTTTCATAAACTGCGTAACTGGAGCACCACCGTTAATTATTATTTTAAATACAAATAATTTTCCTGCGTGGTTAATTTTATGATTTGTGGAAATTTATAAGAGGCAGAAAGAATTGAGTTTGAACCAAAGCAAGGCATTTAGATTATATTTTGCTTAAGTGAAGAGAGGATTGATGTTTCGTGTGTCGGAAAATCAAGATCCTGCGCTGTGTTCCCTACAGACTTACCGAAAATATGATTGTTGTCTTTTCAAGTGTTTTATCCCCAAAAAAAATTCGAGTACCTAGGGTTCGGCTGAATAGTCGTTACACTCGGCACAAAGTCATTCTGGGTCTGCTTGGAAACCTGACCGAAATCAGTTTCTGCTCAGTATCTCCTTTCCAACTTTAAAGTTGCCTCAGAGTAAGAGAAGAGTAGGCCGAGGCGAGTCATACCGCGCTAGAAAGCTGCCGAGAAGCTGCCATTCAAACCCCAAGTCGAATCGGATATATAGAGCGGCTGATTTACGTGCTCCCCGAGTCCTAGGCGGTCCCTAATTCTGAGTCGCCACAACCTCTAAATTTTGATAGGGATAATGCAAAATTTACTCCTGCATGTAATAAACGAGGCGCTACATCTAAATATATTCCAGACACTTTAAAAATTCATAGCAAGTGGTTTTTATTTCATTTGACGTAAAGTTCGATGTATTCCAGCTGCAGTTAAAGGCACTTATAATTGTTGTGAAGATTCAGCTGTATCGTTTCCTTTCTTGGCAATTGTAATTTCTCAATTGCTAATCTTGAACAGTTTTCTTGAAACCCTTTTCACGCGATCGTTACCGTCACCATTATTAAGTGTATATTGTTCTGACTTCTTTTAATTGTGTACAGTAGTTCTTAACGACATAATTTTCATATGAACTTCCTTATTTTTCATTCATCAATATTTCTTCTTCTATGCGCATTTGAATCACTATTAATTAATTCAAACTTTTTGACAATTACTTGTTATATTGTAGCTCTTAGTCTGTACGATCGCCTACCATATATGTTGAAATTTGTGCTAATTTATTTCTTGTTATACTTATATCTAAATTTGTTCTGAAAATTTAATCCTATCTTGAATTTTTTTATTCAGGGCGTCTGGTTTTCGATAAATTACAAACCAATTAATGTTTTTAAAATTGCACTCAGGTTTCAGTCCACTACTGACTACCCAGACCTAGACAACGTGACGTCCTCGGTATCGCCAGTCGGTGCGGACATGTTCACCATAAGTTCAATGAACATGACCGAAGATTTAATGAACGTGACTGAAACTGCATTAATATCGTCACCTGCTAAGCTTCCACCTCAACCCAACACTGCGCTATTGTCCATGTTTCTCATGTTCTGCACGTTCCTCATCGCCATCAAGCTCAAGGAATTCCGAAACTCAAAGTACCTCGGGCGCCAGGTGAGGGTTCCATGTTTAGCAGGTGAGTCCGACGGTAATAAATTCAGTGAAAGAGAATTGGTCTGCGTTTTTCTTATGTGTTATTCACAATATTTATAGAGTGGAAGTAGTTATTGGTTTTTTAATTTAAATAAGAGCTCCATATTAAATAATAGCTGCTCTTTTAAATAGAGAGCAGGATTGAGCCCGTCGTAGAAAATTTCTTCACTCATATGTGAATAAATAAACGAAATTTTTTTCGATTTCAACACTCGTTTATGGAGAACTGTTAGGAAATGTTATTTTATGAATTGTTATGCATAACTCAGCATAAGAAGCAACAACATTGTCATTAGAAGTCTCCCGCTCCAAAAACCCACTCTATCTATCCATACAAATATTTATTATTTGTAATAATAATTGTAATTTAATTCTCCTTTAAGTGGATGAAATCATGACCTTATCGCCGTGATAAGGTCTCCCTTAAACACGATTAAAATAACAATATCATCCATGATATAGATTCGTCGCGCCGTGGGTGACTTCGGCGTGCCTATTGCGATCGTATCCATGCTACTGACGGACTACTTCATCGAGTACACCTACACGGACAAGCTGACCATGCCTGCTGGTATCCAGCCCAGCGACCCTGCGTTCCGAGGATGGTTTATTAACCCCCTGGGCGAGCATAAACCCGTCCCCATCTGGGTAATCTTTATGTGCGCTCCTGCCTCCCTGCTGATCCTCACGCTCATCTTCATCGAAGCCAATATAAGCCAGTGAGTTGCACGCTCTTATGAAGTCCTTTGCACCTTTTATTTTTATAGAAAATTTTCTTCCAAAATTTAAAGGAAATGTGTGATGATTTGAATTTGAATATTTCTACATTTAAAAAACTTGGAAGAAATTGCGAATGAATGACTGGGAAAAAAGTCTACAAAGAACTTCGAATACTCTTGCTCCAAGTTGACTGCTTGTACACCTTACATCTTCATTGTTGCGAGTTTGATCTTTATTTCATTCAAATTACTATCTGTTCCGGTATGTTTAACGCTAGACCACTTTTTCTCGTGTAAGAACGAAGAAGAAATTTCTGCCACTACACCCTCGCAAAATTCTAAATTCCTCGTAGCTCTTTAGATACATCTTGCCCCAATGTTCCAAAGATAACCTGTGTTCTGTTCATGTTACGAAACTCAAGTGTTTGTTTTCCTCAGACTGATCCTAGCTAAACCAGAACGTAAATTGAAGAAAGGGACAGGCTTCCACTGGGATCTCGTTGTCGTGGCCATCTGCAACATGATTTCTGGTAAGAAACTTGCTACTCATAATTCATGATACCTTAATTCATGATACCTTTCACTTCAGCATTCAACTACTAGTTGAGAGGTAATTCAATCTTATCATTAAATACACTTAAATAATTTATTTCAGTAACCATTTTTCTTGATTTTTCTTAAACTTAAACGAGCTCTTCCTTCCACTAGTTACTTTGGTTATGCTATAAGTTGTGTTAATATATTTTATTTTGAGTTGATTTTCGGTGTACATCATTTCGTGGTATCATGGATATCACGTATCTATCATCATGTTAGAACATTATGAGAGCAAAGAAATGAAAGATAGCTCGAAGATTCGACTACGTGAGACTGAGATGGGTGGAGAATTGTGAGCGAAAAAGGAACGTATTCAAATGTGGTGGTGGTGCGGTGCCACATATAGGAGAGAGCGGAAGTGAGCAAGAAGTGGCACAGAGTAGTAGAGAGTATCCAGAGAAAGGAAGGAGAGATGAAAAAGACAGTAGGAGTTTAAAAATGCTCATACGTAGCTCATAATTGGGTTTGTTTGTGTGTGGAGGTTTTGGGAGGGGGGGCCCGACAGGACTTTGGCTGGTTGTGCGGAGTGATCGAAGGGTGGATTGTGGTTCGGTATTTACAGATTATTCATTAGTTAATGCTAGTGAAAATGGAAAGTAAAGATCTAAATACTCGCTATGTTGCGCATTTCACTCGCTTGTTCTTGTTTGCCTTAGGGTTTTTGTTTTTCTGCCTGCTATAATGATGATAATGATCTAGAGAGAGGTGTCGATGATAATGACGAGAGGTGTCGAAACGCTCGGGATACAGTGAAACCTCTACCTACCCAAAAATGTTTTTACCCCAAAAAATGTTTTTAACCAAAAAACAATGTTATTTAACTAAAAAACCATGTTTTTAACCTAAAAACCATGTTTTTAACCGAAAAACAATATTTTTTAACCGAAAAACAATGTTATTTAACCGAAAAACAATGTTTTTTAACCGAAAAACAATATTTTTTAACCGAAAAGCAATGTTTCCAACCGAAAAGCAATGCTCTTTGGATAGATAGAGTTTGTCATCTGTTGCCTGTGCTGTTGGTGGGTTAGGTCAGTCAGTAGTCGTGAGCGGGACAGCTGCGCCCGAACGCTATCGTTACATCTGCCGCCCTAGCGCAGAGTGTTGCGTCGTGTAGGTGGTTTGAACTTGTTCTGGTCCCGCTCCCCCATGCGTTCTGATGTGTATATGAGGAAACCGAAGCCGCTTGTCATGTTTTCACACTGACTGTAACTGCGTTTCTTTTCTTAATACCAACATTTACTGCGTGGTATATGATCATGTTGACTGTAACTGCGTTTCTTTTCTTAATACCAACATTTACTGCGTGGTATATGATCATGTTGACTGTTGCTATGTTTCTTTTCTTAATACCAACATTTACTGCGTGGTATATGATCATGTTGACTGTTGCTATGTTTCTTTTCTTAATACCAGCATTTACTGCGTGGTATATGATCATGTTGACTGTTGCTATGTTTCTTTTCTTAATACCAACATTTACTGCGTGTTATATAATCATGTTGACTGTTGCGTAGGATTCATTGGTGCGCCATTCATGACCCCGGCTGTGGTGCGTACGCTGAGCCACGCATCAGCTCTCACCATCATGGATACCAATGTGCCTCCTGGAGAGTCCCCAAAGGTCGTGGGTTGCGTAGGTGAGTGGCAGTAGTGGTCCATAATCGCCTGCTTGTTAGTTGACTTGTTTTTATTATGTATGCACCATTAGGTTAAACCTGCATTGCATGGAAGCCTGTGTGGGATATCTCGCCGGGTAACTTGTCTAGCCAACTTGCAAATACGCATCGGCAGAGGTGCAGATAAAGTACGATTATGCTATTATAGTGCCAGGTATGACCTGGATAGCGTCGATCTGCTTAATAAATAACAACGCAGCTTAGATTGCTACATAGCTCCCACTAGAAAGCGTACATTTGCTAATTATCTCAGAGAAACTTTGAATCACGTTGTCCATATATACAGTAGGTACTTCTGTAGAACAGCAAATTCGCTACATTACCTCTGCAGAAAAGTGTACCTTATTTGCAATTACTCCACGACAGAACAGTGCATCACGTTGGCTCTTTACTTGTACAGAGCAGCGAGTCAGCGCTCTACTGGTGGCTGTGATGGTCGGTCTATCCATCTTACTATCGGTCGTCCTGAACCTGATCCCGAACTCTGTGTTGTTCGGCGTCTTCCTTTACATGGGCATCTCAGCCACCGTCGGCATCCAGTTGCTCGAGCGCCTTGTGCTATTCCTCGTGCCTGTTAAATATCACTACAATATGCCCTACGTTAGAGAGGTGAGGATGTTGTAATATGCTAATATTTTCTTAATTTAAGCTATAGTGCCGTAATGTGCTGCGCCTTGCAGTAAAGTTATGAATTTTCCTGGCGGATTATTTCGTTGCAAATAAAGTGAGAGTATGATAACGAAATATGACTCCCTTTGAAAACCCGTGGATTTGCGTTACGTTGAAGCGGTAATGGTTGAGACTCAGCTACCAACTCGTCTACTTCTGAAACTTAGATATTCATAGTAAAATTTGCAATTTTCTTTAATATTTCATATCAACACGGTACCTCACACTTCTAAGGAGGCACTGTCAATTTGAATCAACGTACGTTCACGACGTTTAAATCACGTTGAAAATTAGTAAAGAACGAAAATTGAATCAACGTCATTTTTGCCAGGTATATAGCTCCGACGTTGCAATCGACGTTGTTTCGACGTTGAAATCGCATTTATAAGAGTTTTTTTCAGGTTTACGTGTTTTATCATGAATGTCACAGTATATCATCGCTATATTACAATGAGCTGAATTTACTATGTATAGAAAAAAATATCATTAGCTACCCTGTCTATTTACTTACCTATACTTCTCCGCCGGATAAATCAAATCAATCTAATTCAGAATCTAACTTCGGACCTTTGTTTCGCACGCTTCAACGTTGCCCACTAGACCAAGGTGATGACCATGGCATCGCAATGGAAATTAAAAGCTGTTTAACCTATCTTCCTACACAATATGAAGATAGGTTAACCACCACCATCATCACTAGGTTGGTTAACCACCATCGATACCACCGATAGGTTAACCACCATCATCACTAAATAGAAGCTACTTCTGTGCCTAAATTTTTTCAAATATCATTTATTTCTAGGGTACATCAAATAAGGAACAATTAAAGTTGTGAAAAGTTTGGTAGTCACCACGAAATACGAGCACCATCATCACTTGCAACTCGCACGGGGTTGGTATATACCTGCCATTATACCAGGGTTGGTATATACCTGCTGCATACTGCCGACGTATTATATACCTAATACTAACTTTTAATGAGAATTATTAGTTGTAATGAATTCATCAAGCCAGATGAGCTGATATTTAACAAATTAAATACATGTGCTGTTTAAAGTAAATAGTTTGCAGCAGGGTGCGGCTTGGCTAATATTCGTTGCCAGGTAAGAATTGACATGTTATATGTTCCATTGTTATAGGCAACGTTCATCCCCCTATTGACCGTCCACCTGCAACGCCAAATTGAAACCTTAAATAAATTATGTTATGTATTCTGCGCTTTTTTCTCTATTTGCTCTTCTTCTCACTGGTCATCTCTGGCCATACCTCCCTTCTTTTTTATCAACACCGTCCCTCTCCTGATTTTTTATCGACACCGCCCCCCCCTCTCCTGATCTTTTATCGACACCGCCCCCCCTCTCCTGATTGCACGAAAACTTCATAAAAGCATTCTGTACCCGATGGCGTACGAGTTTATGAGCGTGGTTGGCTCTAAAATTATTCGAAATTGATACGTTCAGCAGCTTATTTATGGTAATCTTCTAACTATATCGAACTTTCTCACTTAGACATTTTAGATAATTTATCGGAAAATATTTCGACTATTATTTATATTTTTTCGACTTTATATTAGAACTGAAATTACCATTGCTGAATGCCAGGTGCGCACGTGGAAAATGCATCTGTACACGGCGGTGCAAGTCTCGATGATCGTGGTGCTGTGGGTGGTGAAGCAGTCCATGTTCGCCCTCTGCTTCCCCTTCATCCTGTTGATGCTCATCCCCATCAGGTTCTTCGTCTTCCCCAGAGTTTTCTCTCCTACGGAACTCCGCGCTGTGAGTTACCCATATTTTTACGTCTATGTTCATTCATTTTCATTGATTCAATCCTTTCAGTGTGACTTCTAACGTGTCGATAAGTTTTCGGTATTTCTTGCGGCTAACAGCACTGTTTTACAGAGCTCGTGATCTCTAGACTGCAGGTCACAGTTTGGTGATTTATTTTGAAATTTCTCTTTGCCTCCAACATTAATGACCCTTAGGCTTTTTTGTGAGAAAATTCTTATACTCATTCTTTTAATGTTTTTTGTATTCATTCTTATTTTATTGCATGGTTGCCCTGACTATCGTTCACTATCGAACGCATTGCATTAATTTCCTATATTTTTTCATAAAATGGGGCATATTGCTTGAAACATATAAGCTTTACTAAATAAGTAATCAATGCAATTATAGGCATTAAATGCTTGAAATATAAGTAATCGACGCAATTAAAGGCATTAAATGCTTGAAATATAAGTAATCGATGCAATTAAAGGCATCAAATGCTTGAAATATAAGTAATCGATGCAATTAAAGGCATCAAATGCTTGAAATATAAGTAATCGATGCAATTAAAGGCATCAAATGCTTGAAATGACAAAATATTTCCCTGTTCTGGTATATATTTTAAACAATACAAGAAATTTATTGTGCCGTGTCGGTATACGAGTTACTGAGTACCGTGTGCGCAGCTGGACGGCGCTGCGCTGCCACCAACGGACGGCGACGAGCCTGACTTCTACGAAGAGTCGCACAACATTCGCTCCCCTCCCGCCCACGACGGCGACGATGATCACGGCGACTAACGCAAGCAGAGATAGACGTCTTTTTTACTGCCCAGGTCACAGGAACCTCACATCGTACCTTGTCTTCCTTATATTATGTCTCCTAAGATCGTAGTCAACAAGTTGTTATCTACAAATGTGCCTTGGCGTAGTTACGCTCCCTAGGGTTTGGCCAATGTTTTGGGACCTTTTTCTGGAACTGCCCAGAAGTGATACAAAAATATGACCTGAGGTCGAGTGGTGGATACAAGTGCCTGAAAGTATGCTTATCGAAGGTATTCAAATTGCAACTATGAAAAAGCCTAGAAAATTTCTCAGGAATTTGCTATTTTTCCTTTAGTATTTCAACAAGGAAGCTTCCAATGTATGCGAGGTAGAATTTACGGGAAATAAATCCTAGAATGTGTCCTGCAAAGATTTACTTGGCCTTAAGCCGAGTTTATAACAATTATTTCTTCGTCAGTGTAATGTGCAATAAGTTAAAGTTATTCGATAAAAATTATTTTTGATATTATAAGATAGATTTCCTTCTCTACCAGCTCGATTTTGTCTGCAGAGGTGGTGTCGAGCGATAGAAACTTACTCTCATCATTATAGTGAAGAAAATCAGATTTTAATGTGGAAAATACTGTAATTTTTACCTAATGAGGCAAATTTTGCTCCAATTATGTATTCAAAAGTTGTATTCGTGACCAGACAATGAAGGAGTTGTGGTATTTTTCTTGTCAATTTTCGCAAAAATTTTAAAATGGAAGTGATAGGAAAGTTTTGATATGCTCAATATCTGTTAATGCTTTCGTGTCCATTCGTGGATAGAATATTTTTATTTATACGTTATACGTGAAATTTCTTGTTACTGCCTCTGTGAGAAAAACGTATATTTTTTAAATACCTGTAGTAGAGTTGTTGCTCCGGGGCGGAGATGATTTGTTGATATGCTTGACTAGACAACATATAAACTTTCCGCCATTCAGTCTTCAAATGTTTCATTTAAGCTTAGAATTGATGCCATATTGCTCCTCCATATGCCACTCAATGTAGTAACCATAAGCAGATCTTCTGTTCGGGATTTATGTGTTAAGAATTGACACAGTGTATTTCTTGCGTTGACGAGGGACTCGCCACACGGTTACTCGTGCCAAGCTTGAGTTAATACTTCTATTTAATCCAGCATTATCAATGTTTATTCAATCTCTAATTCAAAGTATGCGTATCTTCATCATTTTGGCTTGTCTGATTTAAGTTCCTAGCCCGCTCAATCTGTCACTGTCAACGGCGGACAAAGGTTTGCAGTCGGACATGCGCGCCTGTGCGCTTCATCAAAGGACCAAAACTTGCGGATAGCAATGATCACTCGTCAACTATGGACCAAAAATTCGTAATAGCAATTATCACTCGTCAATCGAAGGACCAAAAATTGGTGATGAAAAGGATAACTCGTTCGTGAAGGACCAGGAATTGGGGATAAGAATAATCACTTTCACGATATGCTGCTGCTGTCTAATTTGCTATCTGCCTCAATTCACTTCCTCTACAACCTACTTCTTCTCTTGTATCACTGCGAATTTTTTTTCTATCAAGTAATAAGTATTTAGCTCGAGAAAATGACTAGGCTCTCGATTACAATTTGAATAGGTATATTTTTTGTGAAATTCCTGCGTTCCTTATCACCTTGAGCTATTCAAGTGTAATTATATAAGAAGCAAAATCAGAACGGTTCTCTCCCAGGGAAACTCGATCTATTATTCGTGATTCTCCAAGTACAAATTTCCCCGTTTGCGCCTGGTTTTGTGAAGTATTGTCTTTTATTCCCCTCATGCACTTCATTTCTTCCCTCTTCAGTTTCTTTCGAACCGAAAATAAGATTAACGCTGTTTTATGATTTACTATTGCAATTCTCGCTACAGCCCGCGTCAGTTGATAGCCTAGTTTCAGGTTGTCACTCAAGTTAACGGAATCCTCGGTTTATGTATGCGAAATTTTTCTCCTCAGACACTTTAATGTGCGTTAGCGTAATTTGAGTTTCTTAAGCTGTTTTGATTAATTCTGCCTCCTTAATATTTATACTCCCGTCCAGCAGCTTGAGCCATATGAGCTGCAAACATCCACTCGGTATTGCGATCTCCAGTTGCCTTCATCAAAGATCACAATTCATTTCAATTGCTCAAGGATTATACTCGATGAATGTTTCAGGCAGTATATTCCACTCATGAACGCGCCTGTAGAATATTCTATAGGTGTACTCGTAAAAGTTTTATTTTCTAAATAAGTTTATTAATGTATTAAAGAGTTACTTATAACGGCTCACATGTTATCTATGCCTGCTTACTTCTCTTGCTTCCTCAAGACAATATTTCAAAGAACGCAGACAGTTGCAGTTTGATAGCAATATTTAATTCTGAATTTCCATGTAAAAATTAACTCCATGCTGAGTGTCATTTCTGGAGAACTAACCACAGCAACAAATGTATTCGCCCATTATATTGTCCTATTGTATTGCTTATGTCTTGAGAATGAGAACTTGTTTCGAAGACAATTTACCGCTGTTGTGACGCGTGTGCTTAAGCAATGTACTTATCTTCCGTATTCTTAGTACTTAATGCTTGTAATTAAGTTTGTAATCTTTATACTTAAGTTTAGTGTGTTCTATCTGATGCTCATGTTATCATTGTTGCTGAATAAAAAGTTTAGTTGGTGAGTTTAAAATTAGCAGTTTTAATAATTACATTAATTATTAAATTAAGTTTTTTGTTACATTTGATATTTTCAACGTAATATTTATGGCATAATAGTGCACAAAAGTAGTCACAAATTTTCAGGAAGCCTTCCCTGAAAAAGCCTTCGCTCTACTTATCAAATTTTTGTGGTGTAGTTTGTTTCTCTTGTGTTGATTAGCATTTTATTTTAAATGCTGCACTATAAGTGACGCATGAATAACTGAGAAGGTGGCCACTTCTTTCTTACAAAACGTCTGCAAGGCAATTGCAGCTACCAGAGCAAGTACTCAATACAGTTGTATAGTAAATTTGTTTCGGTTTCAGTATCCTCACTACAATGTTACAATTGACCTGCGACGAAACGCCAAGACTCCTGCGTTCCTAAGTGCCACGGTGACTATTGATTCCACCAGAAAATTGACAAGTCAATTTAACTAGGGTGGCCCAGTGGTTACAGTTCAGAGTACCAAGATGGAGCAGAGGCGCTGGTTCGATCCCAGCTCTGTGCGCCGGTTTCTGGTCAGAATCGGCAAGGAAGCCGGGCGGTTAAGCTCAGCAGAATTGGAGCAGTGAGTTGCGAGTTCGAGACCGCAAAATGCTATGCATGTTCTGCAATGTTAAGAATCGGCGACAGGCCTACGGCCTCATAAACGCTGTAACCGCTATTATTATTATTTTACTTGAAAGCCTCTGTGTGTTGGGATCGGTATCGACAGGTACATTGGCATGGCAGGCACGGTGACGAGAGAGAAGTTCGAGGATTACAGATTATATCAATCATTCTGTTTCGACTGCGATTTTTCTTGACGAAGCTTGAAGAGATCAGAGCACCGCACCTGAATTCTTGCATCCATTTTCTTGGAGCTCTAAAATATTATCCAATATCGTCCCGTGGCAGAAGATGTAGTATACAGTAATGCAGAATGGCAGATGAAACGCCAAAGTCCAGCCCCCCAGCAACACGGCAGATGTGGGAAGACGAAATGGCGCAAGACACCGAGTCACCGATCTCTGAATTATATCACAATGAATGCACTTAATGATTTCTCGTCATTTTTAATTCAACTACTTATTAGTCATTGATACAATAGCATTTGTAATATATTTCAAATGCGAAACGTTAGTAAGTAGAGCATGCCCTAAACGATGTCTCATATGCGAATCCTGATAATACGCGAAACGCACAGCCAGAGCTTCACTAACGCCAACGCAGCAACAAAATAGGAATTAGATAAATAATCAAAATATGTCAAAACGAGGAACTCCTTAGGGCCAGATTTTGAAGGAAATAGGGGATCTTTAATTGACAGTTTCAAATCAGCAGCATTCCGTACACGAGTCCATATTGCCCATTGCCAAAACTGCACAAATGGCCGTCTGGAGGGAAACTGAAGCATTTGCTACAAGGATTGTCCTCACAAATGTTAGTGGTAGTTAGTCTACAACAATTACAATTTTATTACATTCAAAAGAACATGGATCTCAGATTGTCTAGACTTTATGCGTGGAGTTTAAGGGAGAGGGTGGCTAAAGGGGTTTAAGATTAGATTTAGAAGTTGTGCTCAGCCGTCCCTCTCCTAGTAATATGCTAGGGGTTGAGAAAGGCGTGTTGAGAACTTCTAGATTTATTGATGATGGAAGAAGGATGCAGCAAACCATCTGCGTGGGTGATGGTCGTTAAAATAAAAACCTGACATAGCAATGACAAGACTAAAATATTAGAAAACAATACTGAAATAATCTTGAGAGCTAGCGGTAATTCAATTTTGTAAGTTACACTTTGAAATTTTCAATTGCATCATATGAATCAAATTATAGAGAAGAACTTGGCAGCTTACCCCTAGCTGTTGTTCACACGTCGACGCTGGCTAGGAAAGGAAGCTAAAAGGCCTCACTGGCTAATGTTGCCCGCTCGCGCACTTTAAACAGAATTCACAATTTTTTGATGGCCCCATTAAAACGTAAAAGTATTTATGTCGTCAATTAAACTTTTATCATTCAGAAATTTCGCGAATAAAAAAATGCGTGAAAATTTGTACTATTTTTTTATTTTACAATTGCAAAATAGTGACCCTTGAAGTAAAATTATTAAATAGTTGAACTCTTGATTAGTATATGCTGGTAATTAAGTTTGAAATCATTGTACTCGTAATTAACGAGTGTGAGTGTTCTAGCTGATAGCTTTTCGTCATTGTTCGCTTTGCTGTTGCGTTGCCCTGGTTGAACCGTGTGACGTTTAGTTCAGAGGTCTTTATTGAGCAGTATTATTTAATAAAAGAATACATGGAATCCTAAACTATTTCATTTGATTTTTATTTCTAAATCAAGTATGTTTAACGCAATTTGTATTCCCTAATTGTAAACACGAAAGTTCTCAGAGTCACAAGTTACATTCAAATAAGCATGCTAGGTTACTCTTGGTTTACCTCGAATTTTTGCTATAATTTAATTTGTGTGTTTCCATTAGATTTTATGTGCTGGCTTCCATTTAAGCTGAATAGTTTGTGACGCACGCGTAGTCGCATAATTTTTATTATAATTATAATTTTCCAATCTTTATTTGGTATTGAATTCCGTTTCTTTAGACTTCTTGTTTCTACAGTTTAGGAAATGATCATCCACGCGTGTAATGGTTATAATAACTGTGGTGGTGGCCACCTCTCACATAGGCAAGCCTCTGTACAGCTGTTGTAGCTACCAGCTTATAATGCTACTTAATACAATTATACGTTGAATTTCGACTTTATACCTTGAATTTTCCACCATTATTACTAACATATTTCAACAATTATGTGCTGCTATCAAACTGGCATATTTATTAGACAATAATTCGAAGCCATTGAGTTTATTTACTTATACAACATTAAAACTCAACCGAGTTTTGGTTCAATTGTACCTTTGCAATCCGATAATTGGATTAGCTTGATTGATGCTCTTGCATTAAGATGAATATTTAGACCCACAAAAGACGTTCTAATCACTCATGAAGCAGCGCCCGTTGCAGGGCTGCATCAAGTCTCTCGTGAGACCCAAGCCAGCGTGGCTGCGGCCACGTACGTATATATTGTGGATACCACGCCTAACAAAATTTAGAGTCTCCCCAGCTTCTGGTAATCCAAAATCAGAAGCTGACGCGTCCGTAAATTTAGAGTCGCCCCAGCTTCTGGTAATCCAAAATCAGAAGCTGACGCGTCCGTAAATTTAGAGCCGTCCCAGCTTCTGGTAATCCAAGTCAGAAGCTGACGCGTTTGTGTAAATTTTCACTGGGACGCAGCGCCACGGCACTCGCAAACACCTGCTGGTGGTGAGCGTGCGAGGTGTGAGCTCCGGCGCTTGTCTATGCTACCCAGAAACCTCAATTGAACTTTGATTACGGCACGAGGACGCCAGTGCGTGACTAAGATGCCTTCAAGTCTTAAAGTGATAGAGACTCGAATATTTTCACAATATTCTGGGTAGTTTTACGGAAATCATTAGAAGGTTGGAGATTACACATAAGACGCTACGTTTTGATTTAGTGAATATCACCATGCACAAACTAGGACACGCAATAAATTTGAAATGACAATAAATTTGAATGGCAATAAATATGAAATTTCTACTCTAATATGACTGGCCAATAGGTCACATAATTGTGTAATGTGAAGTCCTAATAAGCCACGGTCTCCGGATTATACCCGAGTATATAGTATTCTTACTTAAAATTGCTGTAACGACAGTTGGTAAATTTTTAGATATTGCCTTGTAGAGAGTTCGAGAACAGGTTGTGTAATAAATTTTTTTTGTGGCAGGATTTTTACCAATAGAGGAGAATCACCATTCATAACTGGAATCCATTGCAATAGGTGAGGAATAAACCGTTCATCAAATAGATGGATGTTAATTTTCAATCATGTCAGCAACACATTTTTGGCACCTGTTAATCCTGTTTGCAACATTCTTCCGCTTATACTGTACATTCATCAGATTTTTCTAGCTCAATTTTAATGTTTACGGTTGATTATCAGAAATAACTTGCTAGAAAAAAAATTTTCCGCAGAAAATGTCTATACTGTTATGATTAAAACATCTTACACATGCTGTTGAGAAATAATTATATTTTTCCATGAAATAAGGTAAAATGTGCAACTTCATTCCTAAGTCGAAACTTGAAGAAGGGCTGCGGGCCGGTCATCTCATTGCTGCTGCGTCCGACCTAAAATTTTTCACGAGGCCTCATTTGCGATGTCATGATTAATCCCAAATGCGATCTTTAAAAAATCTAACCATATTATGAAGAGCTGAATTATAAAACTCAATATATATAAAATATAATATAAAATATATTTATATAAAATAAATATATAAAACTCACCCTGCATTACTTAAGAAAATTGATAAACAACCAACAAGGATTATTGACCCAGTCTGGGAACCATTAACTTAGCAGAATGACAAGAAGTCCTGCGTGAAGACCCCAAACATAGCGATCCAACTTATACGGCGCAATAACGTATCTCAAGTGAGTTTTTAGCAGTAACTTTAAAATATGGATGTACAATTGTGCATTGCCTGAAATTTTGTGTCCATATGCGTGTTGAATTAAGGCGTGAGTGGCTTTCTGCACGAGATGTTGAATGAGAAAAAAGGCCCTTGGATGTGTCAAGAAGCGAGAGTAAGCCACAACGGTACCTTAATTATCTCACTTCTTGTGACGTTGAGACACGTACTATAAGTATTTTTGCGGTAATGGTGTTAATATTCCAGCTGAAATAATCCTTTGCTATAAATTTTTGTGATAATTACGATGATTTTTTGTAGCAAATATTGTCAGTCACTAGTAATCAATTCCAAACTTTCTATTAAACAATCGACAATCAGTTCCTATCTTTAAATAATTCATGAGCAGCCCTGAGAAGATTATTTATCTTCGAGCTCCAAGAAATTCATGGGAACTTGCCCCGGGGACATGAGAGATATTTCGAGCACTTTCATATTAATGACGATGTCGATCTCATGGTCAGTAGCCAGCATGAAAACAGGCATCGAAACAGGGAAATATGATGAATACATTGAATTAAAAGTTAACTTTAAGATTGCGAATCTTTTTTAGTTTTGTTATTCGAATCTAGTGACATGGAGCGACTGATTGTCCTGCGACATGATCAACTGCAAATTAAATTTTGAGCCTCGATCGCCCAGGGAACATTTTTCCCAATGCAGACATTCGTTCCGTTATCCAGACATCAATGGTGTTAATCAGTCATTGAACCACGATATAAAAACATCACAAGTCAATATTTCAATCATAAATGTCGTTCAGCTGAATCAGACATCTGCTGTGTTGTTGCATTTTGTAACAAAAATCGCGGTCGATGTTTTTATTGAGGCACCTGTGAATGATTTGAGAGCCCAGCTGTACTGCCGCAACTGCAGGACATTCGTGAATAGGTGTTTTCGTTGCTCGACAGCAGATAAAATGTTTGCTTCCATTGCAAGCGACCAATGGCAGAGAGAGGCGTCTCTTTCTTCTCTTCGCTATTTTCGTGACCCACTCAACGTTGAAACGGGATCTCAACGGGAACGTCTCCATGGAGTTATTGGCTATATATCATTCCATTCAGTGGCTCCATTACTTACATCATCAACCATACATACCCTCCGTCCCAACCTGCCCACCTGGAAATTCGACACGTCCTGGCCCTCATCTTGCACTGAATTCAGATTTCCTACCAATTCTGTTAAAACTCCAACCATGCGCCGCCCAGGCTACTCGAGCTGCTCGCACGTTCACCAACTTCAGTAAAAGCCGACAGGCCAGCCTCTTCGGCCACGGTCGAGGCCGCACTTGAGGTGGTGTCTGCCCTTTCTCATGCAAGGCTGCAAAGGAGGTGACGCTAACAGGCATATCGTAGACGCGACAACTGAACACCACATCCCCTCTTGCTACCGGAAAGATTTCATACTCTCTAGCGACCCTGACTACCGGTTGATCATTGAGTAACGGGATATGATCAGAGCACGCCACCGCATTTTCGAGCAGTTTACGTCCGTTGTTCCATACACTCACCACCCCGCTCTTCGCCGTCACGTGCACCGCATCCGATGTATGCTTCCCTTGGATTGAAGCTTTCTCCTCTTCTCTGCTCATCTGGTGAACTCGCTAGCTGTGCCACTGGCAACTCACCCCCTCCCCCCTTTCAACTTCTCATGACGGCCTCACGGTGATCAGAGGCACCTAGGCGTCAGAGCTCTTCAGTGTCTCATATACCTATCAAATTTATAGGTATCTCCAACCTCCATCCCGGAAATCTAGACGAATTCGATTTTCATTCCCAAGGCGAAGTTCTGTAAACCCAGTGACCATCGCTCATCATACCACCCACCCCATTTCCCTTCTTTTTTGGCAGTTGACTATAGCCCCTGGTAGATTCTTCGTCACTCTCTGCACTCCAGACACCCACCAATCCCTCACACATTCGTCCGCATCCATCTGCAACAGCCCCATTCCACTGGACAAAACCCTCCCAGTGATAGAATTCACCCAAGTCACTCCTGAAACCTATGCTCCCTCCTCCCCTCCCCTCCCACATTAAGGTCATGGTCAGCAAGGCAACCGGAACCCGGCGCATCTAGATAGCCCTGGCCAGCACCAACTGGGGCTTATCAATTGAAGATTTAATTGCCACATTCAAAACCATCACACGTCCAATCATATGAACTATCATTAGCTCCCATCTGGTGCTCCGTCGTAACCCGTACCGCTATGGCGAGCCTACAAATGATACATAATTAGCCTCGAGGATAGTGACCGCGGATGCCTCAAGATAACCTCTATCGATAATCTCCACACCGGGACAGACGTTCTTTCTTAGTCTGTAAATTTGGAGCTCGCATGTGTGCAGTTCCTGGCTAGCGCGCTCCGGCCCCGCCATCCCTCTTTTCCCATTGTCTCCGCTCCTCTCTGAGACAGAGCAGCCCCGTTGAGGCAGCGGTACTTTTGGCCACCCTCCCTTCTTTCGCTCATCTCCCTCTTCTACCGGTTGCCCTCCTCCGTCCGCCACCGCAACCTCCCCTCGTACGCGCACTAGCGTAAGCGCAACTAACAACAACAACCAATTCAACAACTAAGCTTGAAAAGCTTGAATAATGACTAAATACATTCCCATCAATCATCTGCTAATATTTTCATCCGATTCCTAATTAAATTCATAAAGAGAATACAAAACTCTGCATCAAATGAATGATATTCTTCAAATTCGTTTGGTTAAGGCTCAAAAATAATTAGGTTAGCTGAATCGCTCGCGCCTCCAAAATCGGCGGAATTGGAGAATTTACGGTCCAGTCTTGAAGGATAACCTAGTTTCAAATAACTGCTTGGGAGCAAAAAAGCAAAATTTCTGGCCAGGTACACAAGATTATCCTCTGACAGCTTCTGGACATGATGTAGAAGGCACGCTGAGCGTGCCACAGCGATCAACAGGAGGACGTTGATTTCGATATTAAAGGTGCCTGTACACGGGGATAGTACTGGCCGCCACTTCATCCGCCGCTTGAAATGTCCTCGCTACTGGCCTCGTGTATATAGGGGGTTCAGCCGCTTCAGTGGCATGTACCGGAATGTGCCCGAGACGCAGCCGAGAGGGACACCGATGTGTTGTTTTCTTCGCTGGAGAAGCGGCCTGTAGCGCTAATTCAGCCATACTGAGAGTATCTGAGCCGCTTGGGGGCTTCAGTATACCCCCTACATCTGCTTCACGTAGCTATCGGTCACCGATGTCTTCGTTGGGGTTTATGCCCGGGTCCAGTCCGGCCCGGCTGGTGTCCCCTGGAGATGGCCGTACGTATGCCGAGATTACCCAGCCGAAGATATTCGACGACGTTATGGAGGCGCCCGATGTACGAGGGGATGATGGCTCTCCGGAAGTTCTGTCATGGGCGGTCATATAGCAGGACGAAAAGTTCTGGGACCGAAGTGAGGTGACGGCCGGCGATGGGGGTACACGAGCGGAGTCCCAGGAAGTTGATCTACCGCGAGTTGCTGTGTCGGATCTCCATCAAAGTTTAAACCTGTTAAGAGTTTCACTTTCGCCAAAACGCGACGCCGCAAAAGATGCCGTAGTGGAGCAGCATTTGTTGAACCTACAGAAACATATGGAACTTCTGGAGGAGGAGGTCGATAAGATCGACAGATTGCTGGAGGAGACCTCACCTTACTGCGGGAAACCGGCTCGCCAATCTTGGAGAGAGGAGCAGATGTAGTTGCCGACAGCGAGAAGTCGGCCACCAGGTCACCGTGCGGACCAGATCTCGGGGTTACCTGCGAGACGTGCCAAGAGTCCAGCCTAGAACCCTTGAGTATCAGACTCGAAGGCAACATGGAACATTATGAGTGTCGAGCACCCCAGCGTGAGCCCTGGTCTTGGCGGGGGGGAATGTAGCTGCGCAGCTCGCCAGTCTCTTGTCGACCAGGGTTCCGCTGGTTACTAGGGTAGTGTGTC